CAACCAGTAAGCTTGGTTCTCAATTGTACATAATTTAAAAATAATATATTTAATCAAAGGTAAATCTATTATATAAATATTCTGATATTAGATTCTAAAGTCTTTATACTAATTTTCAAATTCTTTTTTTTTTCCTTTTTCTTATGTTTCTTCCATATCATTTTATCCCTTTAATTTATTATCTTAGAAACATTATCTCTACCTCTGCATGAATTATATTTAATTTTGGAACAGTATTAAAAAAAACTGTTTATAAAATAGAATTTCATGTCATGTTAAAAAATCTCAGTAAACTCTTCTTTATTGAGTTTTCATCCATAACTCTCAATGTTCTAAATAATAGAAAAACTATTTATGTGGGTTTAATAAGTTGTTACCAGTATTAAAATTTATATTTTCGATATTACTTTTGAGAGATCTTTTAGTAATAAATGTACTTCATATATAATACCAGTGTACAGTGTACTTGGAAATAATTCTTCTATCTTTTTTATAAATTAATAATAATAATATATATAATGACATTTTAAGAGTTAATTACAAATTTAAATAGAATATATTTGTAAAAATGATTTTCAAATTAATAAATTTGAATCATACTACATTCTTTATTTAAAAAGAAAATTCCAATTATCTGATTGTTGTTTATCAGCGCAAAGGGAGAAGATTTTGATTGGAAATAATAATTTACTAATCATAAAAATATCAATAAAACTTAAGTCTTCGATTTATTCTGAATTTAGCCACCATCGGATTGATTTAACTTATTAAAGATCCTTTCTTTTTTTTTTCCACCAATTTCACATTAATATTTTATAATACTCAAATAAACTTTCAAAGTCAAACCCTTAAGTGATTAGTAAAAATAATTCTATTAAAGAGATAATGTTCTCTGTATCCTAAATCTGTTCTCTGTATCCTTAATCAAAACTTATATAACGCTTCTTGAGTTGAAAAGCAGATAATTTTTTTCCTTAATTACATTCACAATGTTTAATTATTGTTTCATGTGAAATCGGGCTTATAATATTGTGTAATTAAGTTTATTTAGTAAGACTCATTGCATATAATTCTTTGCCATCTTTAACTTTGGCACTCTCAATAACATCTTCATACAACTAAATTAAAGTGTATGTGAAGTTAAGTACATATTATTAAAAGACTTAATATATATTTGTTATTATTCTTATTTATGGTAAGTTGCAATCTTAATACTTGTACATTTTGTCCGAAATTAATTCTTGAACAATTAGAAAATTATAAAATTGTGCATAAATATAAAGATTTAGAATGGCCATTATGAATTTGGATACTGCGAATCTGATACACGAATAGTTCCAATAATCGTTTATATTTCTTTTTAAATATCTTTTCTCTCAATATCAAATAGGTTATCATATTTACTTTCGTAGACCACCTATTCTTAAAATCTCATAAAAAAAGTTTTAAACATTCCGGAATTATTAAGTCCTTTGAAGTTGGAGATAAGGAATAAATTGATTTCATATTTTAAATTTTTTGATAGATTGTTTAGATAAAAACAAGATAATTGATTTTATTGTTTTAATAAATTTTTATAAAAAAAGATTGATGTAAGGATAAATTTCCTCGCATGAATATTTTCAAATAATTATAAACTTAATTAATTTTAAGAAGATTTTGATATTAAGATTTAATTGTGGATCAAATGTCATTATTAAAAATTATATGGAAAGGTATCTTAGTTTGATTTAGAGAAATGTAGAAGTTATCTGATTAAATTTATCAGGAAAGTATGACATAATATCTTTTTAAGATTTACTTAATAATTTTTATATGAATTAGAGGGTATGATAAAATTTTATTTGAAATTCTATTATTATTCAATCAAACTTGAAAAATGAAATTAAACAAATAAAAAAAGGTTAAATTCTATTAAAAGCATAATTAAGTTTTTTAGAGAAATAAAATCCAAAATTATTAATAAATGATCCTCTTAGAGTTTATAGGAAACATAATTGTTTCTTATTTCATTATTTAGTTGTTTCAATATTGGATAAAAAAAGAGGAAAACAAGAGGGGATAAAGATTACTTGAAGAAGAATATATAAAAAAGGTGGAATAAGAAAAAATCAGAGAAGAGCAAGAAAGGAACTAATAACTCGAAGAAGAAAAAAGAAGGAAAGTGGAATAAGAAAAAATAATATAGGAGGAAGTAAGGAAAAGATAGATTGAAGAAGAAAATAGAAGAAAAGTTGAATAGGAAAAAAGGATAGAAGAGCAAGAAAGGATAAGGTAAATCGAAGAAGAGAATAAAAGGAAGGTCGAAGAAGAGAATAGAAGATAGGAGTAGGAAAGGAATAGATACCTCGAAGAAGAAAATAGAAGGAAAATAGAATAAGAAAAAATAAGATAATAGCAAGAAGATAGAAAGAGAGTATAGCAATAAAAGGAAAGGAATAATTAGCTCTTATAACCAATTTAAGATTAAGTATTGAAGCAATAACAAATTTAAAAACAACCAATTCAACAATAAATAGTGACATTAAACTAAGAAATATAAAAATTAGACAATAATAATAAACTTACAAATAATCAAAAATAATATTATAAACATTAATTTTAATAATAACTATTTACAAAATTAAAGGATTCAGGTTAAGCGAAATCAATTCCTCATATAAAGTAAAATATTGAGGCTTCAAATCCAGAATTAGCACTTTATGTTTTAAAGGAATCGTTATTAAGAGATTAAAATAGAGAATTACTAGCAACAAGTTAATAGTATTCAAATGGATTTGATTCAATTTTAGGAGCATATGGTTCTGATTAGTCTTGTCTTAAAGTTAGAAACACTAATCTTGATTATGATTCCATTGTGAATGATACTCAATTATTAGAATAGCATTTATTAGAATTTAAATAAAAACTATCAAATTCACTTAATATTTCAATTGATTAAATTGAAATTTTGGGAGTATCAAAGGGAAGTTTTGAAATTAAATTTTAAATTACAGGAAACAAAATCGATGACATCCAATAATAGATTTACAATAAACCAGAAGCCTAAAAATTTCTGAAGGAATATTGTAATGGCAAAATTGAATAGGTAGCTTATTTTGATAAAGCAAGTGCATCAGGAGCTGTTCTATCTTCTGATGATTTTAATCCTTCTCACAATATGAGTTGGGATGGTTTTCATGAGAAAGAATAGAGAGGTCCTCCTTATCATAGATATGATTATTATTTTCCAATAGGTTGTTATGGATTTGGGTTAAATGTAAAAAAATATGGAGATAATTAAGATTGGATATTAATGAATGGTAACCAGAATGAATGGAGGATTATGTATCATGGAACAAAACAACACTTTGTTGGTGGAATTGTGAAAAGTAATTTACAACCTGGAACTTAAAATCGTTGTTCCAATTACACCTGTTTAGATGAATTCAACAACCAAGTGAAGGTAGGGAATGGAATTTATTTTTCAAATAATTTTAATGTCTGTATTAAAGATGGATATGCTAACTACACTTATATTGGTGATAAACAATTTGCTGTAATCTTTATGTCAAGAGTCAATCCAAAAAAAATTAGACAAAGTTCAGAAATGATCCCATGGCAATATTTTGTTATTAATAAATCAGAAGATGTTAGACCATATAGAATTTTATTACATGAAAAAAAATGATCTACTATATGAAATCCAAAACTTATTATTTTAAAAAGAGTTATAAATAATTTTAAATTCTATTATATATTTTAGAGCCAATTAACAATCATGATTACTTCAATTTTAGCTATTAAATCATAAAAGATATGTTATTCCACTATAATTCAATTTAAGGATGAAATTGAAGAATTTTATTTATCTATGCAGTTCTGGTTGTGCAGACTGTTACTTGCATCCTCAATTATACTTAATTTAAAACAGTATTTAATCAAGGATACACACTCTAGTTATTCTCAGTATTACAATTTTTGATTTTACCTATATATTCTGAAAATCTTGAATGCAAAAACTATACTCCAAATGATAATGCCATCGTACTTAAAGTATTCTTCTGCTTGTTATTAAAAATTATGAATAGAATTAATTAAAATGTAGATAATTTCAATAATTTTAGATTCTTGTGGTAAAATCAATCAAAAAATCCAATTATTTAGTCTGTGCTTCCCTAGGGAAAGATCTTGATTGCATACATAAAATAAACATGTTAGATAGCATCAATAAAATACTTCATTATTCAATTTATTTAAATTTAGCCTTAATTGTATTGAATGAGATTTAAAATAAAATAAATAAGTTAAAATACTTTATGAACTAATAAGTTTTGTTAAGTGCGATCACTTATGTCTATAATGATTGATGGGCCCATCAGTTGATACAACTGGAAAAAATATTTAATCATATGTTATCATGAAATTGGAAGATCTAAAAACTCAAAATTAGCTTGATAAACTTCAACCGCATTTAAATCAATTTCCGAACTTAAAAATGAGTCGAAGATTATGAATACCTATGGGCTTGCTTCTTCAATATCCCAAAATAGTTTGATATAATTTTTTACCAATCAAGAGTAGTTCTATAATCCTTAAATAAGTATTGATTGAATTAACCTATTTATGATTGTTTTAATAATTAACCTAGCATTAATATTATGTCTCATACTAAATGAGCTTCGAAAACAAAATTTTAACAAATAAGATGTGATTATTGTAAATAATCCTATTTGAGACACACTTAATAATGTACCTTGTATACTAAAAGAAAATCAAAACTAGAATAAAAAATCTTTGAGGATGAAATTTAATATATTTTTTTAGTTTCATATGAAATGCTGGTTAAATATCTTTGTAGAATTTTATATTATTAAGAATTGTTAAATATACAATAAATTAGCAATTATAAAAAATTATTAGACCTTGTAATTATCGTTTCTATTTCCATATTTATTTCCTTTCAATCTTTGCGATGTTCATCATTAAGTATCCTCTCTAGAATCATCAATATAACAATTTAAATTAAAAAAAAAGAAATTGAGAAAACAATTTAGTTCTATCTAACAATTAGATGCATCTTTAAGTAGCAATAACAATATCAGATACTTTATAATAAATAAGAATAATATGTAATATATTATTTTGATTTCTAGAAATGTAGAATTAAATATATTTTAAAATATACAATCCTCTTATTTTACTCAACAGAAAATATTCAAGAATATTTTTATTTGTGTTACCCAATACTTGAAAATTATTTGAGGAATTAAAAAATTTATTTGAAATTCTATTATCAACCCAATTTGAATTATAATTAAAAAATAAAACAAAATTAATTCTATTATTTCCTTCTTAATTGAATAAAGTTTTAATTATAAGTTTTTATGATAGAAATACAATCCTAAATATAAATAAATGAACCTTCTTTTTAAGTTTTTTCAATATACGAAAAACGAATTGGAAAAGATTGAAAGAAAAAAATTAATTGAAAAAGAAGATAGAAGGAAGGCTGAATAAGAAAAAATTAGAGAGGAGTAAGAAAGGATACAATAGCTTGAAGAGGAAAATAAAAGGAAAGATGAATAAGAAAAAATAAGATAAGAGCAAGAAAGGATATTATAACTTGAAGAAGAAAATATAAGGAAGGTTGAATAAGAAAAGATTAGATAAGAGCAAGAGGATGAAAGGATAAGATTACAATATTAGGAAATGATTGAATAAATCGTATAACCAATTGTTAAATAGACAGCAATATAATAAAAAGTTTAAAAACAACCAATTCAGCAATAAATAGTGACATTAAACTAAGAAATATAAAAGTTAGACAATAATAATGAACTTACAAATAATCAAAAATAATACTATAAAAATTAATATTAATAATTACTATTTACTAAATTAAAGGATTCAGGTTAAGCGAAATCAATTCCTCATGTAAAGTAGAAAATTGAGGTTTCAAATCCTGAATTAGCATTTATCTGTTAAAGGAATCGTTATTAAGAGATTAAAATAGAGAATTACTAGCAACAAGTTAATAGTTTTCATTTGGATTTGATTCAATTTTAGGAGCATATGGTTCTGATTAGTCTTGTCTTAAAGTTAGAAACACTAATCTTGATTATGATTCCATTGTGAATGATACTTAATTATTAGAATAGCATTTATTAGAATTTAAATAAAAACTATCAAATTCACTTAATATTTCAATTGATTAAAATTTGAAATTTTGGGAGTATCAAAAGGAAGTTTTGAAATTAAATTTTAAATTACAGGAAAAAATATCTAAGAGATTTAAAACCAGATTAAAAATAATCCTTAAGCATAAAAATTTTTGAACGAATATTGTAATGGCAATATTGAATAGTTAGTTTATTTTGATTAAGCAGGTGCAAATGGAGTTGTACTTTCATTTAGTGATTTAAATCCTTAGCACAATATGAAATGGGATAGTTTTCAAGAGAAAGAAGAGAGAGGACCTCCTGAATATAGATATGATTATTATTTTCCAAGAGGTTGTTATGGATTTGGGTTAAATATAAAAAAATATGGAGACAATGAAGATTGGTTATTAATGAATGGTAACGCGAATGAATGGAGGATTATGTACCATGGTACAAAGCAACATTGCGTTAGTTCAATTGTGAAAAATAATCTAAAAACTGGTTAGAGAAATCATTATTCAGATGATTTCTGTGTTGATGAATTCAAAAACCAAGTGAAAGTAAGAAATGGAATTTATTTTTCGAATAATTTTAATGTTTGTATTAATGATGGATATGCTGACTATACTTAAGTTTGTAATAAAAAATTTGCTGTAATCCTCATGTCAAGAGTCAATCCAAGAAAGATTAGATAAAGTGAGAGGATGAAAAGTGTTCACTATTTTGTGGTAAATGACTCAAAAGATGTTAGACCTTATAGAATTTTAATACATGAAAAAAAATGATCTACTTTATAAATATTAAATATTATTTTATTATTCTAATGAGGCTATTGGCTATCTAATTATTTGCATGTGATTAGTTTACTGCTAAAAAAAATTAATAAGATTCAAAAGACATATGAAACATTATTGGTTTGTTAAAATATAATTTAGTGGTTTTAGTTTTTCATTTACAGGAAGCGTACTGCAATATTTAGCGTAAAATTTCTTTTCTGCTAATTTGGAAGTTTTTAACTTCTATAAAAACTGGATCTTTTACTAATTCACAATCAGGGGTTATTTGTAACTGGAGACATATTTGAATTTTGTTTTGGTGTTAAAGTTTATAAGTTTGTAAATTGTTACTATTTTTACAGTCTTAGTGCTTGACATTCTAAAAATTTTCAAGAATGTTTTAAAATCTTACTAAATATCTTTATCACATATTCAAATCATTTATAGTTATTATAAAATAGAAATTTGGCTTAGTAAAAAGAGTAAAGATATTTTGATTCATATGCTCAATCAATAAATAATAAATATATACTGTTAATCATTTCTGTAGATGACAGAGCTTGATATATATAAAATTGATTAAAATTTGGAGTAACAGAAAGGTTTAAAAATTAAGGTTATCTTAATTAAAGTAAATAAGAGAATTATTTATTTTTTTACTAGAGTTGATTTAGATATATGTAATAATGAATTATTAAATTAACATATTGATTATGCTTAATTTCATAGAAATACATAAATATATAATTATATTTTTATATGAAATCTAAAATTAAGGCAGCAAATAAATTAACTTTAGGTACTGAAACAGATCTAATCTTTAATGATGCAGATTTTTGCTCTAATTTGGCTGATCATTTTAAACAACCTAAAACAGTTAGAACAACTCATAAGAAAACAAAAACTGAATTATTTTATACAAAAACACCTAACACGGCATTGTATAAATTTCGATAGAATGGACAATTGTTAACAAGTTCTTAGTTATCTCTTTCTCGTTGTCCTTCCCTGACGAAATCCTAAAGGAGATTATAGGATAGGGAACTCAAGACAAAAAGTAATAATGTCAGTAAGGAATATTTGGAAATAAAAAAAAGTTAAACGGAGTAGGACATAGTGCCTATTCAGTTATTGTTTGAATCGAACAGCTTTTTAGCAAGGAATCACGAATTTTTGATTGACAGTATAACAGAATTGTCAGAATCTGTTAAGGTTTAATTGCTGAGCAATCAGTACGAAATATAGAGATGGAAGGAGGAAAAAATGCAAAGCAATCTTGATAGTAAAATATTGTTTATATTTTACAATACTTTGCAGCAATTGGATAAGAAGATTATTGGATCAATATTTAATCAACAATAGACTCCAGCTGAGAATTTTAAATTAAAACATTTATCTGACACAATGGAAATGGTATCAGAAATGGTAACACTCCTAATTAAACAGGTTTCTAGAATGGACATTAAATTGGCCACATTTTTAGAATATTTTTGGAAATTTTGGGTGGTCTTGATTGATGTAGCTATGTAATGGATGGATAAGAGTTGTACAGACTATATTGAATATCAAATCTCGTAATTTAAGTAATAATTTGAAGAGGCAATCTAACAAAAGAATCTAACAGAAGACAAATTAATAAGGGCAGAAAAGGAATTTAAATTGCAGGAGTAACAATACTAAAGAAAATGCGATTCGTTGGAAACCTAAATATTATCCATCCAATAGGAGTTTAATGAATATAAATAGGCTGTACTTCAGATGAGTGATTTGAAATAGGCAGAGATAAGAATGAATGCAGTTGGTTTAAAGTCATTAGAATTGGAGAACCTCTTTAAGTAATATGACCGATAATTGTTTGATTAAAAGAGTGATTTTCAAAAGGACTTCAAATAATTGGGATCAATATTGGTACAATAAAAGAAATTGTAAGAGGATTTAAAGCAACCTCATCAATATGCTCAATCTATTCTTCATATTCCTTAGTATGTGGAGAATAAGACTCTTTATGAACTATTTACTAATATGCATCCTTTCTGTTTGCATTTTAATAAAATAGAAATACACGAATAAGAAGTTGAGAATGACTATGACAATTAGCTAATTTAGTTTTTAGAGTATCTAACCAATTACGATGATTTAATGTAGAATGTTTGTGTGATCTTCAGAGAATGGATGAATGACAATGATCGTCTCAATCGTATTGTAAATCATCTTTTGACTTAAAAGGATTATACACAACATTCATTACATCATTTTTATTGCATTCTATTTGGTTTGAAAAACAATTAGCAACTCTCTTGGATTTCCATAAGCAATCTCATTTGTTATTTTAAACAGTTGAGATAGGAATTACATCAATAATTGAATGAACCCATCTATCTTAAGGATTCCAATTATATTTTAGATTTGATTTTGCCAGAAGAATTCATGGAAATCATTAAGCATCATAAACTCGATTCAATAACCATATTGAGTTTATTAAATTTGTTGGCTTAGTTTATGCAATAGACAGAAAATAAAATATGGAATAGATGGAAATTTCACTTTAAAATAGATTCAGATGAATTTGATCAAAATAAACTGGATTACTTCATGCAACTCAAAATATATTTGAATAAAGGCGAATTGAGTATTCAATAAAGAAGTGATTACTTTGATCAAATTCGACATTTGTCCTTAATGTACCCTTGTTTATTCTATAAACACAAGTAAATGATTTCGAAGATGCAGACTCAAGTCAGACGAGTTTCTTAGAAACATGCAGCACAATAGCAATAAAAGGAATCCAATACAAGGCCATCCCAAATGAAGAGATAGTCAACCTATAATGGAATGATTAAATCTCAAGTTCTTAGAAAATGAATCTTATGATTTGTATATGATAAATTCCATTTTATATTTAAATTATCCAGCAGTAGATCATTCTATAGAAAATTAATATTTATAGAATATTATTAAATTTCTAAGCAAATAATAAATTTATTTTTTTAAATTAAATGTTGGTGGCCTTCTTTTTGATATTGATTGAAGTACATTCAAAGTGTTCTGACAGATCAATGAGTACATGTCTGCAGGACAATAATTGTTAGATAGTGAATTATTTATGTGAGTCTAAATAAGTTAATTGTTATGAATTAAATGAGTCAAATTGCCATGAATCCCAATGTCATTTCAATGAAGAACTCTCAATTTGCGAAGTAATATTATGAAATATCAAAATAGTCTTAAAATGCGATTTAGAACATTTAACACAGAATTCTAAATCACAAACATAATGGCTGGAAAAAGAATAAATATTCGAAAAAATAAAAATAGAATGAGTAAATTGAAGAATCTAGCCAGAATAGTAATTCTGAATCAAGCCAGAATTCTGATTAAATTTCGAGTAATTTTAATTAGAATTCTGACATTCTTAACACTAATTTGGAAGAATAGAAGATTGACTATTCAAAATAAGATACCATTATTTTTGAAATACAGGAGCTAGATTTTTATTAAGAGGATTTTTTGGATAAGAAAGATGGATAAGACCCTGGATTTTTTACTAGTTCATCTTATACTAAATTAATAATACCTATTATGATGTTGTAATTATTTATTTGATAATAATAATAATATGTTATTTACTTTTTTGTTGCTCGGCTTTGTTAATTCATCTTGCCTTACTAGAAATTTTGAGGAATGTTTGACCTTGAATGTGGAATACCAAGAAAGTTGTCAATTAACTTAAGGAGAGTGCAGACCAAGACCTGAAAAGTGCACTGAAATAGATGCCACATATCCTTTAAACTGTAGAACAAATGAATGTTACTACAGCAAGAGATTCAATAAATGTTTGGTAACTCTATACACTAATCCAGTCACAACCATTTACCCGTCTTCTCAATGAAGTTCCTGAGAGAGGAGGAAAACATTAGGATTATCAACAAGATTCCCATTAAGGATCAAATCGTCCAGGACCTGCAACTACAGAAGGAGGACCTTTACCTCCTCCCTCATAACCACCTTAATATCCCCCAAATGCAACCTAATAAGCTAACTAAAATCAAACAACTCTGTAAATGGCTTATAATATTATTTAGAAATAATTAAACTTTGAATTAACCTAAAGTGGAGGAGAATGAAACTGATGATCAGGAAGATGAATCAGCAGAGGAAGAAGACTATGAAGAAGAGGATACTGATGAGAACACTGAAGATGATGATAAGCCTTGGAATGAATCAGAAGGTAATTATAAAATCTAAAAATAGCTAATCCTTCAACTAATTCTACAAATTCAACAGGCATTTCCAATAACACCAATAGAACAGATGACTTTAATGACTCTTACTATGGATTTTAAGATTTAATTGAGGAGGAGATCAAAATCAAATTGAGCGAATCTGATGATAGAAAGCAAATAGAAATAAAGAGTAGTGGAAGTTTCCAATTAATTATGGCATTTATCACCATGATTATTTGGATATGAAATATAAAATTAATTTAAAATCAAATAATATTTCTACACTATCAATGGATAAAATCTATTTGATTATTAAACTGAGTAAGGTAAAATTATTATAATCTGATATGATAATTATTTATTCCAGGTTTAAATATTATAATCCATAATTTGAAACTCAAAAATCAATATTATATAGAATTTAGACTACTTCTTTAAAATTCTTCTAAATGAGCAATGTCAAATCTCTTGTTTAAAAGATTCTGTCTAACTAACATAGATTAAATAAATCAAGAATTAGTTTTCAAGACTTACTTAAATCTAGAGGTATAATGTCAATAAATTATATTGATGTAATTGAATACAATAATAATATATCATCATAATTCTTATTGTTGTTTTACTGCAATAATCAGTTATTGATTGAATTTGCCATTCTATACACTAGTGTCACTAGATGTTCTAGTGTCAAATCCCATAGGCATAATAAATGATTATTATCTGGATGAGTCGAAATCCTCTATTTCATCCTTAATGATAAATACATTGAGTCGCTATCTGCATTTCCTGCTTCTCCTTCTGATTGATTGATTAACAAAAAGCCTTGATAATCTCTAGGACTTGAGGAGTCAACCCATAAACCAGAGAATTTATGAAACCTTAGAGACTCACAAATGCCACTGCTACATCTTTGAATGCATAGGACTGTCTATAAACATAATTTCATACACTATATTGGTCGTATTTTTGGAATATATCAATCATGGTCCAAATTTGAGTAAGGAGGAAAGAAAGAGGATAGAGGAATAGCTTATATGATTTCATCTAATAATCTTCAATTCAATTCTTACCTCAGTAACATTATACAAGAAGTTATATATTTTTATATAAAAATATATGATGTAGAACAGTATGCCAATACAAAGAACCAAATAATCGACAACCATTAATGCGATGCTATCTGGTAATAACCAACACATTGAATAATTCAACCCATAGGCATCCCAAGCGAATGGGTAAGCACTCAATATGAATGGAATTCCTAGAATAATTGGATTCAATAATCTTACCTATAGCAACAACATAGAATTTTAGAAGACCTGGCAATTCTTGATTATCAACGATTGTGGCACACATATTGTAAGCAAAAATACCAATCCACACTATACTTGATTCACGACTGTAATTGACCAGAAATGCCTGGAATACACTATTTATGACATCACTTACCATAGCCCATTACTGTCATCGTTGCTATTGATAATGCTTGCTAGGGCAAAGAGAGCATCAGCAATCTGGAGTTGGAGGACTAAACGAAAGGTTGGCGTTCTCAATTCTTATATAAAGGTAATGAATTACTTGGGTTTGATAAAAATAATAGAGCGACAGTTGTACTACTGAAAAGGGAAATTGAAGAGCAAATTACTTTGATTTATATCAATTAATCCATTTATTTATTTGAATATAATATTAAGTGAGTAAAGGGACTTATTGAGTTCTCTTATATATTAAAAAATCAATGGCCGAATAATACTATATTATAGCCACATCTGTGATTGAATGATATTAAATGATAATTATTAGACTATTTAAAACACGTTTCTTGTAAACAAATCATTTATATTAAATATCGAAAGTGATGTAATAAAAGGAATTCGAAGAGACCATAGAAGAAGTCAAAACCATAAAGGCTATCACCCCAAAGGTAGAGTGACTTGTGAATATTTTAAATAGGAAATCAAAAAGGATCGTGAGACCTTAATTTGAGGCAAACCCAGAGTTGTTCTACCCAACCAAGGTTTTCGATAAATTTGGGTTTAGTAGATGCAAATGTCCAAAATGTGGAGCATATTTTTGGAGACACACAGATAAGAAGACCACTTGTGGAGATTCAAAGTAATTGAAGAAATCAATAATTTTTTAGTTGTGAAGGGAAATACTCCTTCATTGGTGTAGGTACAGGTAAAGGGGCAAAAGGAAATAAAATAACATATGCCGATGCTTGGAATGGATTCAAGAAATCTTTAACAAGTGCTAGAGTACCATGCACAGCAATTGATAGATATCCAGTGGTGGCAAGATGGAGAAATGATGTTGATTATGTAGCAGCAGGAATCTATTGTTTCTAACCATTTTGTGTAACAGGTGAGATGGATCCACCAGCAAATCCTTTGATTTGTCCATAATTTTGTGTGAGATTCAATGATCTCGACAATATTGGTTTAACAGGAAGACATTATTCAGGATTTATCATGCTTGGTATATAGACATTCAATTATCCTGACAAATATGTGTTCTTTAAGGAGGAATGTGTAGAATTCAACTATAGATGGTTGACTGAAGAGTTAGAAATCAATCCAGATGATATTACATTCATTGAAGATGTTTGGGCAGGAGGTGGAAACTTGGGTCCATCAGTAGAATACTTCGTCAATGGATTGGAAGTAGGAAACATGGTGTTTATGCAATACAAATATTTCCATGATGGATCATACGAAGAATTACCAATTAAAATCATAGATACAGGAATTGGATTGGAACGTATCCCTTGGTTAGTCAATGGTACACCTACAAGTTACCTTCGATGTCTTTGCTGGGGCATTTGCATTCTTGGCATAAAAGTTATAAGTTGAATATTCAAACGATGTTTGGAAAGCATTTGGACCATACAGTTGTCTATTGAATGTTGATGAAGTAGAAAATGTTGATAAGACTTGGGAATTCATTTCATCATAAATTGGATATGATGTCTAAACTATTAAGAAGGAAATCGAACAATTGAAGGATATGTATATCATTTTGGATCATACACGTACTGTCATGATGGTAGTAACTGATGGATCATTACCATCAAATGTTGGTGGTGGTTCCAATATTAGAAATATCATCAGAAGAGTATTTGCAGTGTTGAAGAAGAATAATTGGTGGGATAAATTAGGAATGGATGGATTATTGTAATTATTTTAAGAACACAAGAACGACTTGGCTAAACTTTATGGTCCATTTGGAGAATATAAGAGTTTTGATTAAATTATCAAATAAGAATATGAAAGATGGGCTAAAACAGATGATGATAAAAAAGTTAAATTAGAAAAATTATTGAAATAAAAGAATAATCAATTAAGTATTGATGATTGGATCTTTGCTATGAGTACTCATGGAATACCAGCTGATACTATTAGTCAAATTAGTAAATTGCCAATCCCTGGTAATTTATATGCTGAATTGGCAGATAGAGCAGCCAGAATTACTAAAGCACCTGAAGCTATTCTTTATAACACAGTTCATTTACAAGAAACTACTAATTTATATTATCAAACACCAAAAGATGGCAAATTCTAAGCTAAAATTGTTACTATATTCAGTAATGTTTAACAATAGAATCTTCCTAACATTGTGATTTTGAATCAATCTGCCTTTTATCCATTTGGTGGTGGTTAAGATTTTGATTAAGGTTGGTTAACTATTTAAGGAGAGAGACATTATGTTAACAACGTATAAAAAGTTGGCAAGGTTGTATTACATATCCTAGAAAAACCATTACCAAATGCAGTTGATACATATGTTGGTTAAGATGTTTTAGCTGAAATCGATTTAGAAAGAAGATCAATTTTGAGAAATCATCACACAGCTACTCATATTGTATTTGCAGCATGCAGAAGAGTACTTGGTCCTCATGTTTGGTAGAATGGTGCTCATAAGAGTGTTCACAATGCACATCTTGATATTACTCACTTTGCACCATTGTCAAAGGAATAAGAATAAGCCATTGAGAATGAAGTCAATAAAATCATCTTATCTGCAAAACAAATCAATAAAGGATTTATGAATAAAGCAGATGCTGAAAAAGAATATGGATTCAGATTATATCAAGGTGGTATTGTACCAGGAAATGAATTAAGAGTTGTAAATATCGATGGAATAGATGTTGAAGCTTGTTGTGGTACCCATTGTGACAGCACATCAGAAGTAGGATGGGTGAGAATTCTTAAGACTTAGAAATTACAAGATGGTGTTGTTAGACTCTATTATGTTGCTGGAGTGAAGACCATTGAAGTGTTAAATTCAGAGGGAGAGATGATCAATTCATTGGTCAAGTTATGGTCAATTTCTAAGACTCAATTGGTTGAAGAAGGCAGCAAGATTTTCTAAGAGAAGAAACATTATGAATCTGCATATAACGTATGATATCATTTAATAATACTAGTAACTCAAGGCTGAATTGATCAAGTCATAATTGAAATATGTTATTGATGGTCCAAATCAAAGAACATTCATTCAATCAACTGAACCAAATCCAACTGCTTATTTCAGTGAAATTGGAAAGTACATCCAATAACTCAAGGATGCCAAGAAGGGTCTGTTGTTTGTTGCAGACAGTTTCATCTATGGAGCCTTTGGTGAGAACAATTTCAATGTAGAGGAATTGAGCAAGCAAATTGAGGAGGAAGGATAACAATTGAAAGTGAATAAGCAGAATAAGATTAGTGTTAAAGATGGAAAGGTATAGTAATATGGTTAAATATTAGAAAACTATCCAAGTGAATGATGTGTTAACATTCTCCGTCTTAGGTAAATTCAACAAGAATAAAGCAACAAAATATCTTAAAGAGCAAGGTTTTGCTTAATTTTGAGATAATATATATAAAGAAAGATAAATATAATCTAACATAATTTTATTCAAATTTCTATTTCTCTTATAAATGACTCATTAATTTTGGAAACTAAAAGATGCAGATACGAAGGTGTTTTCTACATCCTCAATAAGAAATCAAGTATATTGTCCTTAACCATCAATGCTAACACTTCACTCGATTGGTTTGTACTCAGTGTCTAGATGAGTTCTAATTAGATTACTAAAGACATGGAATCCAAGAATTATCCAAGGTATTAGTACACATCTATCTAGATTGAATAATAATTGTGTAAAATATTCTTTCCTTTAATCAAAGATGAGAATGTCAAATAAATGATATTTGATTTCTATCAAACAGAGTTCTTCACTATTGCAGATCAATATCAAAAACTGAGGGAAATCTGTAAGAACACCATAGATCTGATACAGAGCTTGGTTAACAAATTGGATGTCTTGATTCAATAAGTCAAACTCAAGCAAATAGTATTTGTTTAATAAGTAAGAATACTCTCTCTATATCTATATAGACCTTCCAATTCCATAAGATAAAAGACCTCTTTACTGATTTACATTAAGTCAAATCGAAAGACATCTCCTCTATAATTCAATAGAAAGTGACTGACTATTTCAGATACATAAGAAAATTAACACCTGAGCAGGTTCACATCTAGATTCAATAATAAAAACAAGAGAACTCATCCGATATTGAGTCTCTTTAGGTGGATGACATGATCACTTCCTATTAGGCAATCATTACAGCAATGAGAGATTTGGAATTGCGAAAGGTTTCTAAGATTCCAAAGCCAGTTCATCAATAGGGATGTGGTACGTTGTTATAAACACTAGAACAAATTATTAGCAAAAAGCACAATGAATAACTGAAGGCTGAGTTGGTTTACAATCATAAAGTAGATTATGAAAAAGTACAATTTTGGTAAAATTTGACTGGTTAACCAAATACTCTTGTCATTTGCAAATAAAAGAACTCCTAATACTTTGGTGGTTACACTCCGTCTTAATGGCAATATGGATTTCCTGGTAAAGATCCAGATCTTATTACATTCTTATTCCAATGTCATGGATAGGAATTGAGAGTACACACTATCAATAGGGAATTAAAATAAAGAGCAATAAATTGTGGAGTGAAACAAATGGAATTTGGATAGAAGAATTTGGTGATATCGACAGATTTTTAGAGAGTTGAAATGAAAATATTCCCAGGATTTTCTGAATAACCAGACAAATATCATGTATGTCAAACCATAACAGATGAATAAGATATCTTTAAAGTATATGTGTTAAAAAAAATCTCTTGATAAATAATTATTAATATTTGGTATTGTTTTTAAAACAAACTCATTTATTTAATGCTGGTAATTGCACTTTCTACTTTTTGCTATAATCTGTTTTTTCAGCTGTGTTGAGATCAAGTGACATGATTTTCAATGCCATGGATTTTTCATAATTATCTTGTACTTAACCTGGATTTGGACGTGTCAATAAATTATTTAAACTAATATAGTAATTAATTCTGTATACGTGCTCTTAGACCATTTCTCTTAGTAAGTGGTTGTCCAATGTTAAGATGTAGCTAAATCAGATTAACGCATCTAAATAATAATAAAGATATTTGTATACTTTGAGTTCATAATCAGTCTAATTTAATCGATTAATAAATGACTATTCGTATTTATATTTTAGGTCTCTATTGATAACACTGATTTTGATGAATCCAAAATCTATATTTAAGTTGTGTCCCAATCTAGTAAGATCATGAATGGCCTTGATCAATGAGTTGTGTATGGATTGTACAACATCCTTACCTAAATAACTGATATCATTAATATTTGTCTTACCAAGATGCAGCAATGGGTCCAGCATTACAGAAGTTCATTCCAAAGCCCTTTTGATATATGGAATGTTGACTCAAAGGCTTTGTTATTTCCTCCTTTCCTGGATAACGAGCCAAGAAATATTTAAAAGAATTGTCAGGAACAAAACATGGTCTTGATCTATGATAACAATGATCTACCTTATCTGATGAACATGTTTTCTCTCTGCCCTTTGAATTCCCAGATCTTGAGTCATGTTAAATCCTGAATGTTGGAGTGGCTTAACATAATCCGAATTAACTTCCATTGTAAATGCTCCTAACTCCTTCATATTGACACCCTAGAGTAATCAGTCAGTATGATTACATTTCCGTTAAGCATTTTCTCTTTAATGTATTCTGCAGTAGCCTTGATGACTATATGAAATTGAGCTTTTGCTTCAAGTGGCTTATAAGATGCAATAGTTCTTGGCTGGGATTCCTGGTGTTTCCCTGGATAGTTTTGACTATGGCCAAGGATCCTGTGATCTCAATGCTTATATATATACCAATTATAGACATCGTCGAGGTTCATGAAACTGATTTTTATGTATATTAATAATCATAAGAAATAATCTGGTACTCTTTTTGGAACTGTCTCATTTTCTGATCTGGGTGCTGGATCAAATTGGATGCTATTGTTTTAGTCATTATAAGTACAATGTTTGTCTTAGATTCTCATCCACTTCCATAATTCCAGCTTGATTGCCACATCTGTAACAATAATTGGGAGCAGAGAAAATAGTCACAACATTTCTATCGTGAGCCAAGGAATAACCCTAAGATTAATGATAATTATCATACATCCATGACCAATTGATGTGCTCTTGCAATCATCTTTAATTTGTTATTGTGGTTGAATTACTCAGAGATATCCTATCCAAAAGTATATCCAGCTCCTCTGGGTGATATTCCCCATCCAGATCTGTCATCAGGATCACTCCATAGTAAATCGCACATGGGTCCTTCATGTGGGACTTCCTGCACTCTATCTAACTATCGAATATGATCCAAGGTGTCAATTGAAGGTGAGATACCACCATGCAAACAGAAAAACTTAATGGATTAAATGAGAAAATACTTGAGATTCAACAACTGCAGTCAAGGGTAAGTAATCAAAGAGTTCGGTGAAGTACTTCCACACATTACTATTGCCGTACTTTCTTGAGCATTCATCATAGAAACCGTAAACTTATGTAATTTGTCTTGATTCGTGATTTCCTCTTAGGATTGTGATTCTATCTCTATGACGAATCTAATTATTACTCTATGTAATACTTTCAATAGCACAAGTAGTGTTACACATTCGACTGAATGATGTCCTCTATCTACGTAATCACCCATGAATAGATAATTTGTATCCTGAATTGAAATTAAATCATTACTGGTGCTTTGCCACCTATTTTAAATAATTCCATCAAATCATGGAATTGACCGTGAATGTCACCACAAATGATCACTGGAGCTCGGACTGGTTACACATTTGATTCTTCGATTAAAATTTCTTTTGCCTATAAAGAAAATATAAAAATTATAAAAAAACCTTTTCACATAATTGTTTGACATCCTATTCAGGAAGTGGCTTGCATTAGTATAAATGTTAGATCTAATTGTCTAAATTATTTGCCTCTGGGCTTGTAATTTTAGAAGTCATTTAATTTAATTTTTGAATCAATAGGAGAATATTTAAGTATATTGAACAAATTTATAAAAGAAAATTTCATATTAAACTATTTATAAAAGAAAATTCATATTAATCTTCAGAATCCCACAGAGTTATTTAATTTCTAAATAAAAATGGCAAGGTCTAATGTAATTCTTATAAGTAAATCTAGAAATGGAAATAATTCGTACCTCAATAGCCACAAGAGTAATAACCAAATGATGATGTCAAACCAGCAGCAAACAAGAAATTAATGAAATTTGCGGATACATAAGCATATTAAGTGTCAACACACGATAATAATTATAAAGATGCAATTGACATTGAAATAAGCGAAGATTTTTTTACTACTTAACCTGTCTATCTAGAAATTAGTGTGAAGGATTAGGCTATCAAATTCATAATTTAAGTCACTTAAGCAAATGTCGTAAAAACTCAAAATCAGAGGATTAGTGTATTGAAGACCATTACTGATTTATATAAAGTAGATTACGATGTAAATATGCGATTTTAAGCATATTTTAGAATCGTGAATGAATAAGAAAAGACTTATCAATTGTCTTTTGTTGAGATATTGGTAAAGGAGCATTTTCTATCTAGGAGAGATATGGTGTAAATCAATTAAAAGTTGCTCAAAACTACTTGTTACACCAAAAAGAATGTCATCATCCAATACGCAGGGGATTTTCTTAAAGCTTCGATCTAAATATCTCAGCTGATGATGAGAGACATTAATAATTAAGAATATGCATACACAGGAATAATCACTGAGGAAACCAATATTGTGTATAGAAGTTTGGAATCCAAGATGGCAATCCTGATCGAATTATCCTAAGAAACATTCAAAGATGATGCAATAGGAGAGATTGCCTTAGAAAGCATGCAGAAATTCTTAAAAGTCTACTATTTACGTAATCAATCACTAATGACTAATCATAAATTGGAAATTATAATCTATGCAAGGATATACTTCCCTGAAATTAAGACTGTGGATGAGTTGTATAATTAATTGATAAACAATTCCAATCAAGAGTAAACCTACCCACCTCATGCCTAATTGGATCAATTTGGGAATGTGTGTATAGACATCTACAAGAAGGTTCCAGAGAAAAAGCCTTTAAGATAATTCGACTAGTTGGCTTAGACTGTAATTCAAACAATCCAGGAATTGACTGCTTGGATCAATGTGAAAACCATTAATAATTATCATTCTCTTTTTGTAAAAGATTATCTGAAGAAGAAACCAGAATTCAAGTAGGTGTAATCAATCAAAGGAGAATTGAGCAGTTCCAAGTACTCCAACCTATTGGAAGCAATTACTCTAGTAACCTAGAACTTTAGACTAGATCATACAACTAGATCTTTAAAGAATTCTGGTCACTTCTTGTTGATTCTGTCTCCTGGTAATGGGTATTACTTTGGAGATTTGAAAACCTATAAAATTGCAAAGAAGAATGCTCTGAATAATAATATAGTATGCATGTTGAATTGTTTTGGACGTATTCCCAATATTACAGGTCCAATCTTCTATTTGAGAGAACACAATCTACCAATAGAACGTGATCCAATTCCTTCCTTAACTTAAATTCAATAAAAATATTTTTAGAATACCAGTACTCATCTAAATTAGGAAAAATGCTAATATAACTATTAGGATAGGAATAAAATAATATAAGCAAATGATGATACTGAAGTGTAATCATGTCTGAGACATGCATATTGGATTCAAATAATTAAATACAATGATGAATTTCTCAGGTCCTTTTTTATGCTATACGATAGACAGAATCAAAATGATCTCCTTCCCTTTTGTTTTAAAAAGCAGAAATACATCTCATTTTCTTAAGTGGATTTCACCTTATTGAGTTATTAAGAACAAAAATAAAAATTAAATCAATTGGAAGATCTCCAAAAATTCGATGAAATATTAAAGAATTCTATAAAGGATCCAAAATAAACAGATCATCAATTAAAATAATAATAGATGGGTTCTATGTTAATAGAAGAAGCTCCTAATCCTTATAATCCTACAGTGGATTCTGGGTAGTAAGTGAATATATTTGCAACGACATACTATGAGAAGAAACCAGAGCAATAGGAGTAACCATTAACAGAGAAGAAAATAGTTAAGAACAACCAGAAGAAGAAGATCAAGTCTCACAATAGAATAAAGTGGAAATTATATTAGTGGGGGTGGAAATCCCATTAATTTATATTTTAGATGAAGGATTCTTATCATAAATTATTTAAGAATTATTTGTTGAATCACATCAAAGAAGTTGAATAGAACTTATTCTAAATGGAGTAGAATTGGAAGAATATCTGCTACGTTCCACTATGTCCCTTGAAGTCAGTGATGGTCTATGAAGAATAGAAGTAGTATAAGACAAGTGGTGAACAACAAGTAGTAGATAATATTGGAATCAAAGAATTTGAGGATTAAGTAATGGGGATTCTGTTGTCTGAGAATTATTAATATGTGTAACCTGGAGAACAAACTGAAGATGAATATGGAAGTAAGTTATAGTGTTATAAGAATCAATAAAAGAGTTACCCCATGAAATTCATTAAGGGTGGACACATCATAACTCTGTATTACGAACTGTAGAATTACAAAATCGAAGAATACAATAAGAATAATTTGAAGGCAGAAACAAAGAAGCATCGCTACATTTCCATCCAAAATGACTCTGCAATCATCCCCTAATTATACCGATATAATCTGCATGGGAATAATTCTATCACATGCAGAGAGATCTTGTTTTCCGAAGGGATAGACACTCACATTAAAGGATTGATTCGTATCTTCAGTGATTTGGAATGGACTTCTAAATATACCGAGGAAAACATTAGCTTCATGAGACCCAAGAAAATAGGGCTTGCCTTTATTCCAAATGAATCCTTACAGGCAGATAAGAAATTGAGACAATAATAATATGAGAAATGGAAAGATAACTTCAATAAATTCATGGAGAAATTGAAATAACAACTTAGATGTTTCAATTCTGATGCCATTCGAATACAACATGTTTCTAAGTATAAAGATATGTAAAAGGATCGATTTCATCAACTCAATTTAAAGTACACAACCAGTCTGCCAGAATATAAGTCATAATTACACAATGAGAAATATGAATAATTATGTATCACTTCTCAAGCCAATTACTGTCCAAAATGTATATACAATATCAATCTATTGTGGATCTCAAGCACTGCCTTACCAATCATCAAAGTGATTGAAATTATGGAAATATGTTCCAATGGATTCAAATAAGTTCAAATACCTGGAAATATCGATAGTATATTCTAATAACATCTTCCTTTTGAGAGCATTTACAAATTCAAGATATCAACAAAGGAAAAGATGAAATCCGTAAAAAAGTAAGTAAGATACCCCCCATACGATTGCTTTTATGATAGATATGACGTCCTGGATGGTAATTAATTATTAGTACATTCTAAAGGGTTGTTTTTCTTAAAGTTTGATTTTAAAGTAATAATTTAATAATTACAAATAGAACCTGGAAGTTTTGTTTAAGGAAAATTTGTTATAAAGTGAAGAGACCACAAATTAAAGGGCCATTTAATAAATATTCATGAAATTGAAATAATTAATTAATGAAGAGAATGATAAATTAAAAATGTGATTTTATTTATTATTATAATACACTATTTAATATGGACCAAAATCCTCTTCCAAATGGCTTTAAATTAATAGCATTCCCTCCAAAGCAAGGAGTAAATGGAGATATATTCACATGCAGCAAGGATGGAAACTTGTATGCCATGAAAATCTTCAAGAAAAATGTAGAATAATACTTACATGAAGTTAATATTTGCACAACTCTTAAGACTCATATCAATATTATCAAATTGATAGATAATTTTGAATGGGAAGGAAACAGAGTAATTATTTTGGAATATTGCTCAAATGATTTAATTTCGTATCTAAATCAAAATCCACATTTATCAGAATTGGAGAGGCTGAACATCTTTGCATAAATTGTAAGTGCATTTAAATCCATCATCGAAGACTTAAATAGTGTCGAAATGCATTTCTCACATAGAGATATCAAACCTGAAAATTTGATGTTGGGCAATGATAATATGATTAAGATCATAGATTTTGGAGAAAGCAGAATATTCGACAATGATAATCAACTTCCAACCTTGAAAAATTAATTGTATGGTACTCACGGATATATGGATCCAATAATGGAATTTGGAGGAGATGGATTCTAAGAAAAATCAGATCTATGGTCTATGGGAGCGACCTTATATTATATATTAAAAAATGAGAGATTGCAAATCAATACAAATTAAATCTACTCGGCAGCTAAGATGATCTAGCCTGATAAGACAGCTTCGTAGAACTAGTCTGCTAAGTCAGTTTAAAAGATCTTGTCTGACAAGAGGAAGTAGGCCAAATTAGATATGGTATAAGAGATTATCAATCAATCATTAATTCAACTGCCATTCTCTGATTAATGCAAAGATCTCCTGGATAAATTATTGAAGGTGGATCACAATAAAAGATATGGATGGAATTAATTATTTGAAAATGAATTGATAAAACAATTATTAGAATCTCTACCCCAGGGATAGATGCAATAGAAGAATGATCGTAAGAAACCAATAAAGTTGTCATATCAAATGAACAAAGATTTTCTATCAATGAATTTCAAGTAATAAGCAGGTCCAATATTAACTGAAACCTTATATGTCATTATAAGTAAAGGAAAGCATTGTGCTTCAACTGCTAATGAGATGTTTAGATACTTTAATTAAATGAAATTTGTAAATGAAGATTTTATGAATAATTGGTAAAACTTTGAGAAATGCAATTATTTATTACATCTTAGATCTCTCATTATTCTAAATCATTACAATTAAATTTTTACTCTCAAAACTCCAAAATCAGGTTAGGAATCAATAGATTTCAAACTATTTGAAGATTTGACAAATGGAACTTAATAAAATTAGTAGATCTATGATAGAATCTAATTACAAGTCTATTACTTATTTGAGGATGTCAGAAAGAGTTTGCAGGGGAGCGGTTTAGAAACAAGAATATTGAATTTAACGAAACTATCAACAAACGATATAAATGAATATAATGAGACATTGGGATTCACTGATGAAGAAAGAGAGTATTTTTAATATAGGAAAGACGATAAAATGAATGTTAAAAATCGTCCTGATCATTTTGACAAACCATATTTTTACGAGATTTGTAAATCATATCTTTTGAAATGCATAAAAGTTCTCATCAATAATTATGATAAAGATGGTGTTTCGATTTTAAGCGATATGATTATTTCCTATAAACTAGAAGAATTTTATGAGAAATGCACTCAAAGCAAAATTTAAAATTACTTATACAATCAGACAGAACAAAATAAAGAAGTTTTTTATGCTAAATTGAAAGCTATTTATAATTCATTAATTGAGAAGTGATTATTATTCAGCAGCATTGTTTCTTCTACTTTGTTTATTCTGGCTGAGTCTCTTTCCTCAATACGTAAACATCATTGATTCCCAATAGAGTCTGACTGATGGGTTTCTAAGCAGATACAATCTTATAAATCTCTAAATTGATAATAATTGATTGATTACCTGTAACCATCTAATTAAAGGCCATTTCCACATTTATGTTATTCAATGCAGATGTCTCTATGTAACCAACCTTATTTTACTCACAGAATTATGACACTTCATCGGTCCTTACAATCTTTCATAAATAATATAAACATACTCTCTATTCTGCCAAATCTATTTTATTGCCTACCAACATTATCACAATATCATGATCTCCAAATTACTTTATTTCACTCATCCATCTTAATGTTGATTCATATGTTCCCTATTTTGTTACATCATAACAAACGAACACTCCCTTCGCTCCTCTATAATAAGCATTAGTGATTGCTCTAAATCTACACTTAACATAATCTCTCTTACTTCTCTTATCCTGCCGTATCCCATATTTAACACTTAACCAAATTCCCATCCTATCTAACCGTTCGATTTATGAATTCCACTCCTATTGTTGGTCTGGTATCATATTAAAATTCCTTATTTTGCAATCTGTTGAATAAGTTAGTCTTGCCAACTCCTGAATCACCTAATCATTGTACATTGATCATACCTATAAGAATGATTTTGAACAAATAACTGAATTCATCTTCCATCATATTTAAAATAATAAATATAAAATATTCATTCTATATATATATATATTTCATCTCCAAAACATATTCAAACCAAACCTTGTCTATTACTGTGGTTCTTATTACTATTTTTGTTAAACTTCCTAGGCTTTCTAAGTCCAAGCATTTATTTAATCTTTTGTAGTTTACTTCTGTTGCTATATAATGGTGTAGTAATGGAAATGTTATTCTAATGATAAATCTATCCCTTCTAGATTTAATGATGTCCTCTTCAGTGACTTATTATTGAACTTTCCAGTCTTAAACAGATTCTAGTAATATTCTTACGCCTTCTCTGGATGAATAGCAGTAGCCAAGTTCCTGTATTCAATCGAAAATTAAATGTCCACTTTTTATAACATGAGTTTGATTATCTGAGAGATCGTTTCTCTCTTAATCTCTTGATTCTGTAATTAATAAATGGAAAATAATAGTTAGTCTATTTCCTTTAAATCCCATTAATTGTTCTATTCACAATATAGATCGAGTTGGTATTTCAGTAATTATTCATTCCATTAATAGATTAAGACATTGTAATAAAAACATATGAGAAAGGAATCTTTATTCTACTCAAATATATTATTTAATAATTACGAATATTCCTTAACCATTTTTTAACAATCCTATATACACTACTAATGTTTGTATTCAATTTCGTCGTGTGGCAATTTCTCTATTAAATCACTGATGTCTTTTATTTCTTTTATTTTATTTTGATAAGCTTTATAAACTTCTAAGAACTCCTTTTCTTATTTGATTTATTCTTTCTCAATGATCTAAAATAATTATTCAAAGTGATTTTTCAATGCTGAATCAAACCAATCCTTCCAAATTTAGACAGTTTTATTTTTCATCTCTTAAGGAATAAGTCCTTATTCTTTCTATATAGATTAATAAAGTTCATGATTAAATGTACCATTTTAAACAATATTCTATATTAGTTTCTCTAAAATTTAAACTTCGATAGTTTTAGTTTATGATAATACATTTTGTTTGAATTTATCGATTTGGGATTGATCTATTTAAAAGAGTGGGATTTGATTATTAATGAGTATGTCATATATTTGTTCAATAGTCAATTAAATATAGTTTTATTTTAGGAGTATTAATTAAGTGTAATTGTCAAATGAATGAATTTAATCTATTTCAGCAATTACAGCTTTAAAATTATTACAATTCAAACTTCCGTATTCAATAAGTTTGTTAAAGAATGCGGATAGATTATTTTAATGAATCAATAGTGTATCAATTATATTATTGAGATTGCATTCTTACTCTATTTATTCTAATAGGATGATTGGATACAATCGCTCAGAATCATTCAATTAATATTTATACTAGGCATACAATAATGCTATCTGTGAATTGTAACAATATCCATTTTTCATAGATTACTTCACTTTTTTCATAAAATACGTAAAGGATTTGCATTTGAGATCTTGCTATTATTATTTGATATTGTTGTTATTGGATTCATTAATCTGCATCATGTTTTATTATGTTTTATTTGTAATCGTTCTAGGTATGTTAATGTATTTTACATAATCTATTTGGTGTAATCACTAATGCCATTAAGTAGATCAGCACAGTTGAGGAGTTCGTGATATTTGGAGCTGAAGAGATCCTTTAATTCCTTGTTCTTAGTAGTAATTTCTTTCTGGAGATTTTGCTATTCTCGTTGAATTTCTTGAATAGGCTTAGTAAATAATTATTCGACTGCAATCATTATTTAAATTATTAGAATATTTAATCAAGTCTTCCAAGTAATAATGTGATATCTTCAGGTTCATCTACATGACTATGCCAAATCAAGTATGGTTTCTTATCTTAAATTGCATACACCGCTATTTCCTCAGATTTACCACCAATTGCATAATTATTACAACTTATTTAAGGAAACAGCTCCTCTAAATTCTTTTTCAATTTATCTGCTCTAGATTTGAATATCTACTATGAACAACAATAGTTAATTTGAAATTATACGCCCAATTTTTTTAGAGCGCTTTACTTTTTTTTCAGTAGAATCTTATTCAAGATTTCATTCTATTTCGACCTCCTTGAAATTTCATAAGCATCTCTCTTATAAGTAGACAAATTCAGCCAATCATATACTAAGCAAATCGCTATTACGCTTTAACTCATATTAGGATGTACTTTAATGTAATATTCCCATCTTTCATCTGCGAAATATTCAAAAGGCAGCTTTGCATATTCTTCCATTAATTGTTCTTCGGACATATTGTCTATTTTTAAATTCATAAATAATAAAACAAAATTTAAAAAAATCACTAAAATTTGTACACACCACCAAATTCCTAAGAAAAAGTGTTTGTTACCACTTGAACCTCCTCCTCAATTTAGTCTATTACTTTATTTGTTAAATCATTAGATGACAGCATTATCTATTCTAATAAGTCCATTTCATTCATTTATTTGATATATTTGTATTTCTATGGGTTTTTATTATATGGTAAATCACCTTCCAATATCAATTCAGTATTTAATCCCAACTATTCTGTGATATACTTCTATCGTTTGTATGAATACTCACTTTCAGTTGTATCCTTACTGGCTAAAGAATAAAAGAATGCTTGAATTTCATGATTTGTATTTTGCTTTGGTCTCATAACTCTTCCTAAACGTTATACTTTCTATCTTCTCGATCCTCCCAAATACCCTATTTCAATTCCTACACTAGCAGATGGAATATCAATCCCAGTATCTCCAACTCTAGACACAAAAATTGTTTTTATTTCATTCGAATTCTTGAAAATACTAAAGATTTTATTTTTTTCATCAGTATTTAAATCTCCATCTATAACTGGGTATCCTAATAAGAGGGCATAATAATTAAGAATTAATAATGAATCACAGAACACAATAATCTTATGTCCTAACATCTCATGATTCTTTATCAAAAATTGTAATGCTTTATATTTTCCAGGATTCCCTGTATGTAACAATTATCTGACAGTCATATTATTTTTAGTTTGATATTCTTATAAAAAGATAGGTGGCATATCACATTGTATCTCAATAATATGGGGTTTTGCTAAAAATCCTTAAGTCATAAGATCAATTAAATTCTCTTCATATAACTTCGGACCAATCATAAAATACAAGTTATCCAACTTTTGATCCTCTCTCAAAAGAGTTGCTGTTAAACCAATCTTAATAGCACACTTTATTTATTTTAAGACATTTTAAAATTACACAGCAGGTAATCGATGTACTTCATCAACAATACAAATTCCCCAACTAACTTCTGAAATTTAATTCCAAACAGTCTTTGTACTTGATGAATTATTTCTAAATTGAGCTATTAACCAAGAATACGTAGTTAAAATGACTATTGGCTATTCACCTTACCATTTATCTTTTGCGAATCCAGTAACACGTATTATTCTTCTATTATCAATAGTAGTATAACCCTCTATTTCTCTCTTCCATTATTCAACAGATACATTTGAATCACAAATTATAACTGTCGAACTCTTAATCAAACTCATACACAGTACTCCTACTAAAGTCTTTCCTGCACCACAAGGTAATACAATTAGACCAGATTTTGCATAATCTCCCATTATTACAGTTTTTGCTGCTCGTAATTAATATAATCTAGGTTTAGTGGATGGTTTCAAATTGATGTCTAATTTCTATTTTTCTTTTGTAAAATCATATTCCTAAATTAGAGGAACTGATGAACGAATCAAAGCTTAAGCTACATCAAAATAATCTCCAACTATTCTGAATCGTTTGAATTTGATAGTCTGTATTTTATCTTAAGCCAACCAATCCTTAAATGTATCAATCTCTTTTGCCATTTATTCAATATCTGCTTCCTTTAACTCTATTTATTACTCAAAATTCTTCAACTAAGGATTCACTTAAATATTATGAATAATCTATTCTTCTTAGATTACCTCTTACAAACTATTCTTATCCTACAAATTCATCATTATTTAATTCAAAACTGTTTCACCAATGTCTATATAATAACTTTTGTCTTGCAAAAAGAATTTCGCTTATCCAATGTTATTCGTATGATGTCTTATAAATTATTCCATTCTCTAAGGAACCTTATTTTTTGATAATAGATCTAATAGCCTAATTATATCATCTGCTGAATACTAGAGCACCATGGCGGTATACATACTCATCTAAGTCAATCTTAATTATAAATAATCTATACACATATTCATGAATCAACTCTGATCTGCTTATTGGTTCAGCTACACACATCAAAAACTCAAATGCAATTTCATACAAAGGATTGAATTTCTCTACAATTATACCCAAGTCAGGACTCAATATTAATGGTTTATTTGATTAAACGATTTCTATATTCCTATAATCCATGTTATCTCCTATTAACAACTTTTGCACTTCCGGAGGTTAAGTTTACAATTTTCTTTTCTTCACCTCAAAAGACATAATTAAATTAATTATTTCACTTTTTGAAGCGCAAAATATTATATTATAAATATTTACTTATATTCACTTCTTATATATTATATAATTTACTATGAATACGAGTAAATCTCAAATTATAAAAATATTTGATAGGAGTTTTGAAAAATTAATTATGAATTTTAATTGTTTTTTTCATTTCTTTTTTTGGAAAAAGTTCTTAAGGAAGGTTCCCTTCCATATCTCAAACTTATTTTCTTTTAATACTTGTTTAACAGAAGCCAAAGGTTAAGGAGGTGGTACTATTTCGCCCTAAACTTTAATAAAGCCTAAATTTAATAGGATAGTTGAAAAGTCTTTGTTTCCTACAAATTTTATTGAAAATAACTCATAAAATTATCTTATCATTTCATTTTTGCAGAATTTCGTAATTTCCTAAAGATTAAATCATTTCATTACTTCAAAAGTTCGCATTTTAAGAAGATTATCTTAACAATACTTTAACATTCCAATCAGAAAAGTGTGAATAATCTATTCACCTTCAAAAAGGAATAAATCGAAAATCATCCTACTGATCTCCCAAGAAATTCCATACATTAATAAGGACAGATATTATTATTAGAAACACACATTTAGATCTACATTAGATTCTTAAAAGTGTTCATATAATTTAGGCAATTCACTTTTAAATTTTAAATCCAAAACCTTCATCATTTTAATTAATCCCGGAAATCCAGGAATGAAAACTGATCTCCAATTTAATTCTACCATAATGTATATAAAAAGATAAAACACATTTTAATCTCTTGATGGATCTATGATTTCAACATCTAAAATAATTAATGAGGTTTACCCTCTAAGAATTTTTCATCGTTTGTTTTCAAATCGTAACAGATTAGTAAATTGGCTGCAATAATATTCATTCCTTATGTATAACCCAATTCAGGATCATAATTAGCATAAGCCATCAATATTTTTTTTAAACTAGTTTGATTTTCTTGCTATGTTTAATAATATGCTTACTAAATTCAAGAATCTATTTCCCATCAATGCTCTTGGAATATCCTTGTCAATTTATGATGAAAAATTATTATCTTAGATAGAATACTGAAAAAATGAGGAATTTTTCTATTGAATTTTTTACTTTATCGAGTCTATGTCGCAAAATAACAACCAAATATCTCTCCTCTCAATAAAGAATAGATTTTAAGTTAATAATGATACATGTATATCGTGCATCATATATCCTGTTAATGATTTCTACTTGATTATTTTCTTCCAATCATTTTAGTCCAAAATTTTATATTCTTTGCCATTTTATTAATGCTCTATTATGATGAAATCTGATATTTCCACTTGAATCAATTTAAATTCCAATTGTTCCTAATTTGTTAGTGGATGATCATCCTTTGATTTTTTTAACACTTAACCATTATTAATATTCATTTTGTTCTAATTTAACATAGGCCATTTATTACATCATCGACTTTTATTGCACTGATTGATCTTTTTGTTTATTTGTTTCCAAATGATTACTTTTTAATTAGATATTCTTTATGACTAGGTTATCTTGGTACTTTCTAAAATTTATTATAAATATCAACATCTATGATTTCAAATGCTTATGATCCGAAAATCTCTTGAGATTCTGAAGTCGAGTTCTAGTCCTCAATCATTTAACTTTTGTAAATTAATTAATATAATAAGAAATTTACACAATTTCATTTTCTACTCTCTTTTAGCAATTTAATTAAAAATTCTATAGATTAATTAGAATTTTTGGTATCTCTCGAACTGTAATAATTTTGACTCGCCTTTATTTTTACAGGATTGATATTATTTTTCTTATATATAAAATCTATCTACTTCGAAAGGTCATTTAATTCAGAAACTTCAGGATATGAATGTTTATTAATTCTCCATCTAATCTGATTCTATCGATCTTACTTATTGCCTAATTACTCATTCAATTTCTTAATATTTAATTAATCTTGATATTAAATTTCTTCACTATCAGTAATTTTTCTTCTAGTGATTGGAATCAATTCTGAATTCTGAAGAGTTTAACAAATTCTCTCTTATGAAAAATTGGCTTTACTTAATGTCTTTAGCTTCTATTGTATTTTTGGAAGTTGATAGCAAAGTACCTTTTTATTAGATTCATTGAAAATGTTATCGTTTTATAAATGTATTCGCTGACTAGGTAAACTATATAATGGTGATTCCTTATTCAAAACTCTCTTAGTTAAGTAAGAAAATGATTCATCAGAACTTTTGTTCTCAATGTTAACATTATGATTGAAAATTTTTTAACTTTAAATATTTTTAAGAATTTTTTCCAATTTATTAGGTTGGGTTCTTAAAGATTGCATATTTGGATAAACTTACAAATCAAACTACTTTGACATAGTTCTTTGCTTTAAAATTAGGTCTAAATTAATTATATTAAAAAATTTATTGCATAATAATTAGATAATGATTAAACTATACAACTTAGATATAATCAGAATATTATTTCTAAATAAGGACATTAATAAATTATTAAAAGAATACCAATTTATAAATTAATAGAAATGCTATATGATTTATGGGTTAAATATGATATATTCAACTTTCAGAATTTGTATTTTTCTATTTAGACCTTTAGAATAGTCTTAAACAATAATCTTTTAACTTTTATAAAAGTAGTTTTACTCACTTTTGCCAGTTTAATAATTTTGCAAATTCTCTATACCTTAGTAAAGAATTGATATATAAACGTCAAAATGAAATTTTGAGTTTAATTTATATTTAGCCGCAAATCCATTTTCATTTTGTTGATACTAATGAAATTTCTATTTCAAAAATTGTTGTTGGTCAAAAACATCAATATCTAATATAAGATAATTGATTAAGAACTTGATATTAGGAAAAAAGGCTGATAAAAAATCTATAGAAAGAGTAAAATGCATTTAAACTTAAGATGAAATTTCTATAAAAGCAAATGGTATGTTTTTTTATTATTAATGAACTTTTTATATTATTAATCGTAAAACTCTGTATTGATGATTTATCGTTAAGTATGAGATTTCTCTATATATATATAGAGTTGTTCTAATTTAGTAGGGCAAAATTTTACTTTCTTAGGATCTGCATCTAAACTTTTAAAGTGAACCTGCATGTCTAAATGACCTAAGAAGCCTAAAGATTTTGATATTTAGTTTAACACTAATAAAATTTTAATTGAAATAAATAATAGATTTTGGAATAAATTTTTTGATCTCAAACAGTAATTAGTCATCTTCGCAAAGATGAACTAGTCGCTACATACAGGTAATTAATCAATTCTTCATTTAGAATATACTCATTACTGGTTAGTATTATATGGTACAAGTTTCATGCAAAACTTTGTTTCAATCACAAAAAGAATATATATTATTGGTGCAGTTGGATAAGGATTTTTTTATTTTAGTGTTTAAAACAAATATTGATGATCATATTTTCAAAATTTTCTTTTAAGGTTAATCTATTTATCAAACGGCAGATTTGACAAAGGCTAATATTCTTTCATTTTAGACAATGCCTCAATTTTAAGAAAATATCTCTGAAGGACAAATTATAAAATAAATAGATCATATATATTACCGTCTGTACTGCACATAGCTAAATTCGATTGAGAAGACCTGGAGAGATATCAAAAGTTATCTATTTTGGCAGGATTGTCTAATCAAATTTTTTATTTAAAAGTTCATTTTATGAAATTTTTAATCATGATAATGTAACTATCATTAAAGATTATAGCTTATAATTGCAGCCAACTTATCATTCAAATATTTTTATTTAAAGGATTCTTTGTTTCAACATTTACAATCTCCTTTCATGCAGTAGAATCTATTTCATAATAACACCAAATTTTGATGTCAAAGTAATTGCAACAACATTATTAATTAATTAATTAATTAAATTTTTAATTGTAGAAATGATAAAAAACTAATCAACCTCAAATCAAGATGGATTCAGTCAAAGTAATCGAATTTAGACATAACTTTATTAAATGGTGAAAATAAGTTGCTCTTTTCACGCCCAATAGATAGAAATTGTTAATTAAAATATTACGAAATTTTGATCTTCATTCTCTCTTGAAATAGCTTGAATAAAGATCATATTTCTTTTCGAATTATTTTTCTTTTCACCAGTGTATAAATAATTGTATCTGAAATAATTTACATTGATATAATATTTTTTCTCTTTTGCAAATTAGATTGGCTATGCCTAGCATTAAATAAATAAGTCTATTATTTGCTCCATTATATGAAGGTCCCACTAAAAAAAATATCTAAAAAACTGTCATAAATATCAGAAATAAAAGTATATTAATAACACATCCTTTAACTTTTTATTTATTTGTCTAGCCCTATAAAATTAAAAACCATTTTATTTGCACATTTTTTGGTTTTTCATCCATTCTTAATTACGCATTCTAAATTTTGAAAGTATGTCTTCTTTATTGATTTTTTACATCTTTATTTCATTCGATTATTTTAGGTTTCTATTTCAAATTAAAAAATAAACTTCATATAAATTAGCCCCTTATCGACATCTATGGGTATATCTTATTCAGGGGAACTAGCCTCATACTGAATATATAATTATTAGATTTATCACACATTATTATTATAAACTAATCATTAATTCAAATTCATTTTCATCTAATCTATTGATTTTAAAACTTTTTCGAATTTTTTTCTTGAGCTATATTTTTTATAGGGTAATTATTTCTGAAAAGGGTAGTTTGAAGTGGTAGATTAAAATGTGGTTGGAAGTTAGACGGCAATTATAAATTCTACAGAATGA